GTCGCGTATTTAGTACAGGAAGAGCTAATGAACCGCTTAGCACCATCACATCGCGCACCTGGCTCCGATGGCTGTGTCATGTGTTGCGCATGCCAGTACACCGACTCCGAGGACGTACATTGCTTGCGCGCCGGGTGGTGTGGTTGGAAGAGGAGGAGGGGAGGCCAAGCGATGAATTGGTCTAGTGAAATTAAAATCCTCACTTCGAAGCTGGCGTCATTTGGTGCATCCCGACTGCTTGGCTGGGGTCCTAAGGACAATGAACATGTTTGCTTGGACACACTTGCTGATATGGCGAAAAGCCGGCCGCAGTGACGTTGTGTTGTGAGTTTCTTTGTACATCTCCCTCCCTTTTAGATTCCGACTCCAATTCCGCTCTCATTCAAGTTGCTTAGTATAATATTTAACACTATATGTCCTGTCTTTGTATTTTTTGCTGTGTAACTTTTTTGTATCTTAGCTGAGGTGTGTTCCTTACTTTTAACTAACCTGTATTGCTAGTGATGATGACGAGAGATTCGACTCAGTGAAAGCCTAACTAGTTTCCACCTTGGTGCTTCGACCGCATACACATCTTCCTTCAGCCGCTGGAACCTTATACGGGATGACCCATCACCATAGTCTCCTTCGATTTGGTCCCTATTGATTCGATTAAACGCATCCGCTGCTTTTTTTCCGAAATATCTTACTTCAGAAACGACCGGTACCATATAAGATCCTACTGCCATTTCTCCCGTCAGTGTTGAATGCTTCAAAACTTCCCTTTTTCTTTTTCTCCAACTTTGTCACTTGAAGGGACACGAATTACTGCCACATTCCTTTTTCTTGACTGGTATCTCGGCTAGAGGGACAGCTGACACTTGGTGTCTGACCTAGTTTCTACGCAAGCGCTTCTGATTTGATTGAGGCACTTTTCGCCAAGCGTACTTTGCACCTTAACAATGTGCGACACTGATTCCAGACCGATCTGACACCATCACGAAACATTCGCTCAAGCTGATCAATAGATACACTTGTCCGTCTACTTGTAACAACTATTGCAGTCAAGTCACTCGAGTATTTGCTACCCGCAGATCGAATTGAGGCTTTTCAGTCACACTACGTTGTGGGCTTGATTATTGGGTTTACGTTTCCGACTGTAGTCCATCAATCGAACCTCCGTTTTCCACATCGCCTTTTCAGTCAGACTGTTGCCCCAAAAGGTGTTTCCGAAGACTATCATCCGTCAACAAAACATCACCGGCAAGTACAGTGCATTTAAATGAAATGAACGGGATATTAAAATGGGCACGCTGGGTTGCATGTACAGTGCAAGTCGTATGTACCACCTTGTATTGTGATCGATCTATGTGTGCGAAAGATATGATTATCTCAGTTGAGTGTTTAACGCTTTTCAGCTGTATAGTCTGACAGTAACTCTTTGCTTCTTTAACAGTTGGTGTCGGGCTCAACAGACGTCACTGGCTTGGTGATGCGATCTCTGTGATTAACTTCCTATGTGTACTTTTTCCTCAGATGCTTTTCGTCACTGTTCTTGATCCCCAGCTTATCACTTGGGTGATTTTGTCACGTATAGATGTTGTTATCCACACTGATCGATCATGTGAAACCCTGGCCTGTAGCCTTAAGGATCACAGGCCTGCCTTGTAATCCGTGAGCGCGACTTCGAACCTGCCTATTCACCGAGCGACGCTCGCAATTTCCTTAGCCCATGTGCCACTTGGGGTTGGTTGCGCCGCAGCGAAGCGCCGGTAATGCGAACCGGCGTACTGCTGATGCTTTCTTCTTCTTCTCCTCCTCTGTAAAACGCTACCAATGTGGAACGAGTTCATTTGTACCCGTCCAGGAATTCTTTTGCTCCCTCTTGTCAACATTGATCTGAACCTCGCGGTGCGGCGATTCGAGTAGGGAAGTGCCAAGATAATCTTATTTAAAACAAGACAACTAGAGCCTCATATACGAAGGTTGGTATGATGTTGGATGATCTGATTTAGTAATCCGCAGTTTATGATGGTACACGCAATCAAAATGTCACTGAATCCCGGATTACGCCTCCTTACTTTGCGTTTCTTGCAATCAACGCGGTCGATCCCGTGTCCTTTGTGGATGAAGGCAGCACACAGATTCAGCTTTCCCATATTTCTCTCCGATGTCGTCGCCTGGACCGCATAGTGGTCATCTGGCTCAACGCACTCTCTGCAAGTATTGCGTACTGTGACAATTAGCTAGCATCGTTGCTGTCGGAAATCGGTGCTTTTGTTACGCGCGCCTCGCACTGAAAATTTATTCCCGCTGTATCCATCTTATAATGTCGATGACACATTTGTCTTTGTGCAATTTGATCTAATTGACTATTGACTTACCAGAATCAACTAATGAACTTACGCAAACGTTTGTCTGTGATTTTCCTATATTCCTCTCTGTAGCTTTTGTGTCTGATACTTTGGGCAGTTTGTTGTACCAAATTTTCTTTGGGCCGCATACTGTCACCTTCTATCGGAGACAGAAGGTGATAAATTTTCCTAAAAACTTGCTTAGCTCATGCTGAACACGGTTCAATTTTTGGTTAGTAGATTGTCGCCTGTCTAAGTCTGCGTATTGACCGAGCGGCCCCTCAATATCCCTAGCCCACGCTCAACTGGTGGTGGTTCCGCAGTAGCGAAGCCTCGGTATGGCGTACCATCATATTTCCGATGTGTTTTTTATATTTGCGCGGTCGCGCTGACCTGCGGTTCTTGGAATCCAGGGTTTGCTCTTTGCTGTGGTCTCATTCAGCAACCGGTGGCCTATTGATTTAACGCGTATACCTTGTATTAACGTGGTGCGACGGTTTGCGTATCTCTTTGACTCATTGAGCTATACTAGGTGGTGATCTGGGCCCCTTGAGATCTACTGCTAACAGGTTGGTCAATGGTTAGAGGTCAGACAAACAGTCTCTTACTCGTCCGGGTTTGGTGTTTGAAATGGGATAGCGTTCATCTCTGTTCCTATCTGCTACCTACCCACACCACCCATTGGATGCTTATCGGCAACAGTCCCTTATAATGCCATACTGTCCCGTTTCCCTGGCAGCGTTCAACGTTCGCACTTTAAGACAAATAGGTCCACAATCTGCACTCGCACGCACGTTATGCACCCTGGGTATTGGCGTGTGTTGTGTATCCGAAACTAGAATCAATGACTTTCTTGGAGTTGTTGAATTAAGTTCGCCTGGCATGTCCTCTCGCTATTGGTTACACTCATCCGGAGACACTGATCCGGCAGCCTTTGGTCAAGCTGGGTTAGGTATCGTACTTAGCTCCAAAGCTGAGTCATCGTTGGCTGCTTGGATTCCGGTGAACAACCCGTTCGACAATATCGCTGTTTGTTTGTAGTTTCCGCTTATTATCCCACAAATTACAGTTCTGATGCTGCCAAGGACACATTCTACCACGAACTGAATACGCTACTACGCAGTGCTACCAGTTCAGAAATCATAATCCTTGCAGGGTATATGAATGCACAAGTACGTCGTTTGGGCCTTTCAAAAGCTCAGCTAGGTGGTAAATATGGGCTTAACACCAACCGTACGGACCACGGCGAGCGTCTTTGGTAACTGTGTGCGCAGCACTGGCTGTTTCGTAGTAGCACTGCTTTCAGACACTGTAGGCGTCGAAGTGCCACTTGGCGTCCACCTATAGATGACCAGCGATGGACCGCAATACATCACATTACCATAAGTTACGTGTGACGCGGTTTCATCTTGGATTGTAGCTTACTCTGGGGTACTTCTGTCAACTCTAATCACGCCTTGGTGCGCTGTCGCTTTTCCATGAACTTGACCGGAAGGCGCACTAAACGTCTTTCCTAATTTCCAGCTGAAAAGTTATCTCAGCCCTCGGTTAGGCCAGCCTACCAAGCTGCACTGCGTACCGAACTTTCGCTTCCTTATCTTAATGACACTGGGCTTCAGTGGAATAGGATCTCCGTCGCCATGCACGACGCAGCAGCATCTGCTTATGGCATTATCAGTCGCCATCACACCAGTCACTAGATATCCGAGAGGTCGGTGAACCTGTTGGAATTCAGAAGAAAACTACTGGCTGACTCTGAGCAGAATGTTACCAGAAGGACTATTAGGCGCGAAATGAAGTGGAGACTGCGCGCTGACAAAGAGGCCTAGTGGACCAGTCGGGCTCAGGAAATGGGAGGCAGGAGCAGTAGGCAATTGCCACAAGTTCTTCCAGCTGATCCGCACCACTGGTCCCAAAAACCGGTTATCCGTGAAACAACCAGAGACCGCGCGTATGCACTGATTCACAATATGCTATTGACAAAGTGTAGGCGCCTTGACCCTGAATGTTTGTTTAAGGCACTAAAATTTTCCGGTAAGTCCCTTTTTTCTCCCTCTTATTGTTCTTCGTTCCGTGGATCTTTATGGTTGCTTAGCAGTGGTGTCAGTTCAGGTGGCCAATGTACTGCTGTTTATCATAATCATGATGTATACCTTGTAATCTAAAGATCGCTGGCTTGAAGCTGCATAGATTTGTGCGGCTTCGCAGTATCCGTAACCCGCGCGCGCGATTGCTGATGATTGAATGGCAGCGAAGCGTCCGTACAGCACACTGGCATATTGCTGATGCTTTTTTGGTTGATCTAAAGGCGACCCTCGAGTGTTTTGACTTGACGGCTGTGGCGATGTAATCCATTGTTCTTCCTCCCGTTCTCAACCAACTTTCGTCTACAGTGCTTGTTTTTTCTTTCGCCATCGAAACTGATATTAAATTCACATGAAAATAGTACAGTCCTCTGTTTTAGCTAGTCAATCCGCTTGGTTTACAACTTGCTACTCATTAGATACTACATAATTACTCCCATGTTTCTGTTTCATTATTGCCAATCACCCCAGTGCCACACAGGCTTCTGGTCATCCACTTGTTGAGCGCTTTCGATTTGGCTCTCTCCCACTTCGGTTCCTCTTGCTGTTCACCTCAAACTCGTATTTTTCTTCGAATTTTCAGGTCGAAAGGGCTTCCAAAGTTATGGAGTATTTGATTACAGGTTTTGCTTCCGCTGATTTATTCAGTCGAGAAATGATTGAATATTTCACGACTGCAACTAAAACAAGCATTTCGCGTATTGAGAAGTTCAAGTACGAATTCCGATTTCCCAAAAATTTACCTCGTAAGTACTATTTTGTTACTAATATTTTTAACAGTCACCTCTTATGCTTTCCTCACCCGCTTGAAATCAGTTCTGCCCCTCACATCAGCACTTCGTGCTTTCCTGGTCTGTAGCCGAAAGAATTACACACCTGCCTTGTACTCTGGTTCAATTCCGCGTAGGGGCGATCGACCTTGCGGTACACTCGGCCCTCGTACGACCGGTGGTGGCCGCGTGGTAGCGATGTGTCGGTACTAGGTGTCGGCGTATTACGCTGACGTTTGTTGGCGATCATTTGATCCAGTTACTTGTCCGGATCTCTCTTTCGGATGATTTATTTGCTCCAGTTTTTATGAATACGAGTCTTCGCTCTCAGCTCTGGTATTGAGTTGCAGGACCACTACATCTGCAACGGTGACGCGTGCAGCCGAGTGGTAGTCTGTTATGTACTAAGTGTGCGTTGCTCACATCTGGTGGGAACACCGGGTGCGCAACGAGCCTGTTCGACGCCTTGTTTACGGCACAGGAAAAGGAACTGAACCACTCTGCACCGTTATTTCACGCACCAGGCTCTGGTGGCTCAGCCACGTGTTACGCATGCCAGCCCATCGACTCCCGCGACGTGCGTTTTTTGTGCATCGGGGGTTGTAGATGGAAGAAGAGGAGGGGTGGTCAAGAGATGACTTGGTCGAGTGGAATGAAAGCCCTCACTTCGAAGCTGGCCTCGGTTGCAGCGTCTCGACTCCCTGGTTGGGGTCCGGGAGACGAAGAACATGTTTGGTTGGACACACTTGCTGATATGGCTAGGAGCCGACCTCAGTGGCGTTCGTGTTTTGCGTTCCTTTGTCCCACCCCATCTCTCTTTGCCACCCCTTCCAACCACGCTCTTACTACTTAGCCTTATATAATTTTACATAGCAAAGTTTTTTGCTGCATATTAGCCGGCTTAGCTTACCAGAACGATACCCATCCGTTACCGGTACCTCAGCTGGCTTGCGCCTGTTGCATTTTATTCCCTTTTTTCTTTTGTGTATTGCGGCCAAGTAGCTGAGGTGTTTCCCACCTCTAGCTAACGTGTATAATGTCGATGATGATGACTAAGTGCGCGTGGTCACTAAAGACGGCATCATTTTGTGTACCGGAAGTGGGGTGGTGTAAGGTTTACGATGTCTGATTGCCAGCAGCTTCCTTGATGCCATTAGTCCACTCCATCTTCGTAACCTAAAGGTAACGAGCTTGTCCTCTAATCTGACGGCGCGGGTTCGAGCCTGCGTAGGGGCAAGACGACCGTCGCACTATCCTTAGTCTTCGTGCGACCGGTGGTGGTTGCGCGACAGCAAAGCGTCGGTACTGCGTACCGGCGTACCGCTTACGCCATTCTAAAGCCCGCGTTGTCCACTACCCGATTCGAGGCATTAGAAGGCATGGTTCCCAAGATAATCAATACTGGAGTCCGGCAGGGTTGCTCACTTTCTCTAGTGCTATTCAACTTCGTAGTCTAATGGGTCATGCATCATGCCCTTGAGGGCTATCCTGGTGTTCAAGTTAGCCCTGACTTCTGGCAGTCAGACCTAGAATTTGCTAAAGACATCGCTATCCTTGCAGAAGATCCTATATCACTACAGTCACTGCTAAATCGGGTTGACCAATCAGCCTCTATGATCGCCCTCGAAAATAACCTCAGCAAGACGAAGTACTTCTCATCCAGTCCGCCCCGTCGCTCTCGTTACATGGACAACCCATCGGATCTGTTTTGGAATTCAAGCACTATTCTCCCAAATGGTCAGGCTACATCCGAAATCCTCATTCTTATTGACAGCGCCAGAACAGCTTTCTTACAACTAAGAAACACTGTGGCATAAGATGGAAAGTAGTCTGAGAACGTGCCATTTTATTATACGGTTGCGAAACAGCCTCTGCGATCCGAAGACACCCGGTAACTGAAAATCTTCGACCATTGGTATCTAAGGCTTAACTTGAGAACGCAGTGGCATGAGCGTATCCCCTATGAGGAAGTTCGTTGTTACAGTCTCAGCGCTGCAGACTTCAGTGGTTCGCTCACGTTCTGCGCCGACCAAACACTGACTTCTCTAGGGCCGTGGTTTCACCCTCGCCTTGCGAGGGTTGGTGTCGTCGCTGTGGTGGACAATTGAAAACGTGGCTCGCTGCAGTTAAGGCGTATGTTGATCATCTGGGACTCCAGTTTATGCATAGTGCGCGTCACTGGAGAAATCATTCGATAAGTATCTGCGTGGAGCTTGCTGCTGATCGCTGCGCTTGAGCAACTGCAATCCGCGACATTCATGGAACCGGCTCATCCTGTCGCAGGAGCTAGCCGCAGTAAAGTAAAGTGAGTTAACTAATGGTTAACATCAGCTACCATCTACATGTTTGCCGTCGTATCTTGTTTCAACTACCCTTTTAAAGTGCACATGTTGGGGAGTTATTTCTGGGTCATGTGCATTACTCTAAATTGTGAACGTACAAGGAGGATGTCACCTTACCTTCACAACGTTGCAAACCATCTGCGCCCGCATAGTTTTGACTAGATTTACTTAGCCTGATTCCGAATATTTTCACTAGACATTTGGGTTTCACATTATGTGCTCTTCCTCTTCTCCGTCCTTGGTCGTAATGTTGCCCACTCTCCGTTTATGTTTCCATCCCGGCCGTTGGTATTTCTGCCGAGTCACAGTGCATTAGACAGGCGGAGCTTTTCGCTCTCTAGGCGCTGACATGTTCCCCAATCCCCTTGCGTTTCTTGGTATTTAAAACAATTAGTTCCCTTTAGTAGTTTGAACAACGAAGTGAGAAGAATACTGGTATTTCGTATTGTCTCGTCAGTGCCAATACAATAACTGGGAACTCTTTTTCTAAGTCTCATAGGGTACAATCAAGCCAATCCAATTCATGGTTGTGGTCATTGTTGTTGGTGTCAGGACCACGGCAACCGCACGTTGCCTACTAATTGCTTTTGGATACATAAAGCTGGTCTAATTCTGCTTATCGCCACGGCCTCGGCAAATCGAAACATGCATGAATTTTTATGACGCAACAAGATCCGGACCGCGGATAAGGGGTTACTCCGGTGACGAGTCGCCAAAATGTGCCTGCCTATGGAGGACGCCGGCGGTTTACGCGAGCACGTATCGTCTTAGGGGGATTAAGTAACTTCGCTTCACTCTGGAATCCAAAGCCCGTTCGGTTCTGCCGATGTAATTGATACCGCAGTCACACACAAATTGGTAAACACAGTATGATTTGGCGCCGACGGGTTCATTGTCCTTTAATGAAGGTAACGGCAACTTTCGAGTCCTGTTGATAATTACCGCCTCCGCACCGCAGTAGGAACGCTGAATGACCGAGACTCTGCGCTTAATTGTCCTTCTTGCTGCGATGTCACCCTTGAATGGTAGCTTCATGTATACATTTCTATTTGGGGCTCTCAACACCATTTCTTTAGGCCGTCTAACCTGGCTATGTTTGTCTGTTCATCACTTTGGGTAGGCATTCTCTAACAGCATCTTAGTGATCAGCTCAATCTCCTCAGTCAGACAGTCGGAGCAGATACTTCTGTCCCGAGTGAACACTTTTTTCATCAGCACGCGCTTGTGTGCCATCGGTGAGAAGCTGGTGAGGTGTACTTATTGGCCGGACCTTGTTGGCTTCCTGTATACAGATTGCTTAAAGAGCCCATTATCCCTGCGACTCATGAGAATGTCAAGATATGGGAGATGCTCATTCGATTCGAATTCAAAATCACCTACAGATTGGCGTGAACACTATTAAGCTAGTCTACTAATCGTTCGGTTTGTATCCTCGTGGATCCAAAAACAAGAATATCATCTACATCTCGTTTGTAATACGGCAGTTGGGAAATCTCTCCACTTTCTTTTCAAACATCAACAAGAAAAAATAAGCCAGTACTGGACCCGACGGACTTGCCATAGCCACTCCATCAGTTCGGCGATATGAGGTGTGCTGAAATCAGAAGGCGATATTCGCCGTGCAAAGTAACAAAGACTATCACAACTGGTCTGCCGGAATTGGTAGACGGAAATTCTCCTCTTCTATCAGGTGGCAAATGTATTCAACTGTCTCTAGCGAAGGGATAGTAGTAAATAACGACTGGACATCCACTGAGCACATAACCTTCTCGGCTAGGCTGATTTGGTCTAGGTCTTCGATTATTTCGGAACAGTCTTTAATGCTGTGCAAAGTCAACTGCTGCCTCAACGGCGCAAGGATCCGAACTAACCAGCGAGCCAAGTTGTGCTGCGAAAAATTTACCATCGACAAAATGTGTCTTAGTAGCATGCCCTGATTTTGAGTTTTTTGGTAACCCGTGCAGCTGTAGTGTTGGTGAACCACTCGGCTTCAAGTTCTTGTATGTGGTTTCGTCAATTAAACGATGTAAAAGAAGTGTTTCAAGCTATCGGGTTATATGGGCCTCTATCAGGCTTTCTATCCGGTCGGTACGTTGCAATTTGCCTTCGGCACTTAGAATATTTAGCATTTTTTGTACTTTATGACTCTTGTTCATGAGAACTGCTCCTGAAGCTCTGTCCGGCTTTAGTACCTCGGCCTAGGCAACCGGGTAGTATCTCGCCTACTGACGAACCATGGATTACAACCATTCACACGTTCTCTTGCTGATACGGTGCTATTCACTCATGTTAATATGCCACCTTCACAAGCACACGCCACCATTTTACCTAGCCTTTTGTACCAATTACACCCATTTTTACCTGATTACTCTATGGCGATCGACCCCACCTACACCGATGAGTTTGTTCCCTTGACATCTGCGAACTCAACCACACAGTGCTCAGCAGAGAGCTGTCAGTCCCAAAGTCTCCCATCTTCGCTCCTACAAACCGGAACGCAGTTCAAACTTGCAGCCTTCAGCGTACGCACATTGCTTCAGATCGGTCAGCAAGCTGGATCTTCACGCACGCTAGAGACCCTTGGAATTGATATCTGCTGCTTGAATGAAACGTGACTCCAGAACTCTAACTTAG